TAGAATGTCATTGGTATTTTGATAGGGATTGCATTGAATCTGTAGATTGCATTGGGCAGTATGGATAGTTTAACAGTTTTGATTCATCTAGTCCACAAATGCAGGCTGTATTTCCATTTTTCAGTGTCCTCTTTACTCTTTTTTTTGTCAAAGTTTTTTTCTCAGGTTTTCTATTTCTTCATGATGCAGTCATGCTAACATGTATGTACTTATCCAAATATTTGTTCATTTTTTCTAGATAATTAAGCTTGCTCTATGATCTGATAATATGTTTGAAATAATTTCAATTCTTTTGTATTTATTTAAGCAAACTTTATGGCCTAACATGTGACATATTTTGGAGAAAGTTCTGTATGCTGCCAAGAATATGTTCTGTTGTTGGGTGCAATACTCTATAAATATCTACTACCTATGTTTGTTGAAAGGTGTGGTTCAACTCTGTCTTAGTGATTTTTCTTGTTCCTGGGAAAAAATACCCAACACCCTCAAGTTACGAGATGAAAATTTTATCTGGCTCGCAGTTTGTACAAGTTTCCATGAATAGTCAACTTGCTCCAAGGCAAAGTGGCATGACAGACAGGCATCATAGAGCAGAAACAGTTCATGGTAGAGAGAAAGTAACAAAGCAAGCAAACACAGCAAGCAGCATCTTTCTTCCCCTTTTATATTGTATCTAAGCTACTTGAATTAGAGTTGTACCAAACCAATCAATGGATAGATTTAGTAATCATACACACTTAGTTCCAATATCACACATTCTAGATTCAGCCACCTCTAAAAAAGCCCTGCCTATGACTACATATGGTTTTGGTGGACCATTTAGACATAAGCCATAACAAACTGATTTTTTGGCATGAATGTAAAACATTTTTGCCTTGTTAGTACATGTATGCAGTACATAATGTTTACATTCATTGTGGGAACTTGAATTAAGATGTGTTATATAACACATCTTAATTCCTTCTTTAAATCCTCTTTTCCTTCCCTCCCTCCCCTCTCCACTCATCCCTTAGACCCCTTCTTTTTTTGTACTTTTTGCAATATGTAATGTTTACATTCCTTGTGTGGAGTTGGTACATGTACATAACACATCCCAGTTCCTTTATGTTCATCCATTATTCCTTCCCTCACTCTCTCTTCCTTCCATTTCTTGATCCCCTTTCCCTTTGAGAGTGATATATCTCCCTTCTTCCCAATATCTATATTTTATTTTGCTCTTTATTTTTACTCTGTGTTTCTCATATAAGAGGATCAATGTGACATTTAAGATTATGTGTCTGATTTATTTCATTTGATATTATGGCCTCACGGTACATCCATTTTCTTACAAGTGACTGAAATTCACCTTTATGGCAGAGTAGTGCTCCATGGTATGTAATATCACATTTTTAAAATCCGTTCATCTGTTGGTGTACATATGGGCAGCTTTCAAGATTTAGCTATTCTGAATTATGCTGCTATAAATAGGATATGTATATAGCTCTACAATATGATGTCTTTAACTCTTTTGGAAAGACAGCTAAAAGGGAAATAGCTGGGTCAAATGGAATTTCTAGCTTTAGTTTTTTTGAGATATCTCCATACTGATATCCACAGTGAATGCATTAGTTGTACAAGCTAAATAGATGAGATACCTTTTCACCCATTTATTGATGAAGTCAAAAGCTGAAAAACATTGTGTTGGTGAGCAGGAATATAAATGAATACTTGTATGTACTGCTTGCAAGATGTAAATAACTACATCTTTTTTGAAGTAAAATTTGATAATGTCTGCTAAAATAAAATGTAATATCATATAGGGCAAGATTACCAACCCTTGGTGTCTATATGATGCTTGGTGGTAAGCTAGTGGAAGCATGTCCATAGATTTTTGCCATTGCATCATTACATATAACAGAAAATTTCAAACCACCTAAATGTTCAACAGTAACGTAATGAAATATTTATCTTATGTAGCTTGAGTAAGGCAGATGTATATTTGTTAATATGGGATAATATTCAAATTATTCTAATATATATAGTAATGAAGGTATAATTGATGCTTTCCTTTGGGGTTAAAAAGTCTACAAAGTGATAAGTAGTATCACTCTATTTAGATTTATCTGCCTGATACACACAATGTCTCTAAAAGTGCATGTCCAATGGAAGAACACGATAGTGGTTGATGGGAACTTTTGTTCGTGGAAATTCTAAACACCTGTGTGTGCTTAGATGGGAGGAAGATTTACTTTTCACAAGATTAATGAATTAATGTTACATTCTACTTTTAAATTAAAAAAACATTATGTAATGTAAAATTTACCCCTTTAAGTATAGAGCTCAATAGATTTTGACGAACACACACATTCATGTAACCAACAAAGCAGTCAATATATAAAACATTTCCATCTTTTAAAAATTTCCTTCATGTTGCTTTGGAATCAAAATCTTTCTGTTACTTGTAGACCCCAATAACCATTGATTTTATTTTTACGCTTATCATTTTACCTTTTCAAGATTGTAAATAATGAGATTAATGGAATAATTTAAAATCAATACCAGCCTTTTTTTATGTGGCAGAATGTGTGTGAGATTCATTCTTGTTATTGTACTTTAGTTTATTTTTTTTGATTTGTGAGTAGGATTCCATAATTAGGAGAACCATGTACTGTGTATCTGGTCTCTAGTTGTTGGGTATTTGGGTTACTTTTAGTTTTTGACTATTTTAATAAAGGTGCTTTGAACATTTGCATACAGTTTCCTGTGTGAACATAAATTTCCATTTCTATTAAAAATACCTAGAGGTGAGACTGTTGCTAAAGTGTAAACCTTTGTCACAATCAAACAGTTTTGTAGTGTGGTTGTGCCATTTTACATTCCCACTATCGATGTATGACAGCTCCATTTGCTGCACGTGTTCTCCACACTCCTTCACTGGTTGTTTTTCTGTATTTTGGCCACTATAGTTGTTGCGGTGACATCACATTTTGTTTTAACTCTTATTTCCTTGGTAAATAAAAATGTTTGGCCATTTCTCGTGTGTTGATTCATTTATCTTCTTTGATACCATCTATGCTCAAATTATATAATCATTTTTACTGGGGTGCTGGTATTCTTATTTTTAATTATTGCTCTTTACACTTTTTTATAAATTTTTCTATGATAACTTTTATAAATATTTACTTCTATGCTGTGCTATTCTCTTTTTATATAACTTTTGGTTCCTTAAAATATCTTTCAAAGAGCAGAAGTTTTAAATTTCTATGGAGCCCATTTTGTGAATGATTTTCATTTGGTCAGTGATTTAATTTGTTCCTTCTGATTCTTTTTTCATATAACATATTATTTGCCAGCACAAAGTATCAAGTACTTACTCTTAGGTATTTTTCTACCTCTTATATTTTTAGCTGTTACATATAGGTCTATGTTTTATTGAAAGTTCACTTTCACTTATGGTATAGAGTAATGTTCACCCTTCTTTTCTTCATGGATATTCAACTATTTCACCCTTTTTGATAAAATATATCTGTTTTTGTAATTTAGATTCACATATTCTTTATTGCTTTTTTGAACAAATACCAAGTAACAATTTAAACAAGTAATAAGTTAAATTGTTTTAAAATAAAATTGTAGACTTAAGTATTAATTTCTCTCCAAGTTTGAATTGAAAAATTTAAAAAATAAATAATATTTAAAAACAATGTGTGTGGATACACAGAAAACACATATATCATATATAAAATGCATATATGTACATTTCTATCTGCCTTATCTAATCTGTCACACTCCACATCTAATACTTCTATTTATGTCTTCCAAGAGTAAAAACTTCCTGCTACACAACAGTAACTGCAGTTACATTCAAGAAATTATCAATAGGATAATACAACATAAAGTCTATAATTACATATTTCTAGTTACCCAAAATGTTTATAGTTTTTGGAGAACTTCCCATAATGCAGTGAAGAAACAAGCCCTTAATCTGGTTATCTTGTTCATTTAGTTCTCTCAAATCAAGAACATTTACTTTTCCTTTGTGTCATTTTGATACAATGAAACATTTGAAGAGTTGAAGCCACTGTCCTGTAAAATGTCCCTTAGTCCGGTTTTATGTAAGTGTTTTCCTGGAGATTAGATTCCAGTGATGTGTTTTGGGCAAGGACATTATGTGATGTTTGTTATATATGTCTCACTGCATCACGTTGTGCCTGGGCTGCATAATTTCACTTTGTCCCATTATTAATGATGCTTAAGTTAGCACTTAGTAAGGAGTTGTTGTCTAGATCTCTCCATTGTTGGGTCTCTGGTTTTGAAAGCAATTAATTTTTAAAAATGGATGGTCCTTTAAGACATTGTAAATATTCTATTTGCCAATTTGCCTAAAGTCTTAACATTGATGGATGATGCTTGCTAAAAGTTGATGACCTTAGTTGCACTGTTGGGAAATGACTAATTTTCTTTGCTGTGTTTTAGGATTCATCTGTAATAAGGAATATCCCCATTTTTTAAATTAAGAGAAACACATTTCATTCCAGTGATAAAAATAAGTGTCAGTGTACTTGTTGATATCATTCCCCAAATCATCTGTTAGTAGATCAAACTTCCACTTAAGAATGACCAAAATGAAGGAGTTCTAAATACTCCTGATTTTTCAAGGGTGAGTGCAGTTTTCCATTTTAAGTGATAATCTACACACAAATTGTGTAAAACCTGAAGTAATGAAATAGAGCAACAGAATGAAATAACCAGTTGCCAGGTTGGTAATAAGTAGAGAAGAGTAGGAAAATTTTATACCCAAATTCCCGAGTACTTAGTGTTTGAACTGCTAATGGAAGTCACCTTAGCAAAGTAACTGCTTCTGCCTTTAAACTTGTCTTTGCTAGTATTTGGCCTGTTTGTTTGGAAGCGTTACTACTTTTCTTTGAATATGGGCTTCCTCATTCATAAATCAGAGATTGTTCTAGATGGCTTCCAACATTTCTATTGACTCAAATTCTTTATAACTCATCTGCCATTTCCAGGGCACAGATTTAATAACATCACTGACTTCTGTGCTGCATGATGACCAAGAATTCCCCAATCCAGAGGTATTTGATCCTGGCCACTTTCTGGATGAGAATGGCAACTTTAAGAAAAGTGACTACTTCATGCCTTTCTCGACAGGTAATAGAATTTCTATATGTACTTTTGGGGACAAAATAAGGTTTTAGGATCAGATGCAACCTGCACAGTGCCTCTCTAGTGCTGGTACATTTGCTCTTTGTGTGTTATCAGGAGCACAACTCCATTACCCTTGCACTTTCCCTGATCATAGTATATCCTAATGATTAGTACATATTAGTGGGGCTTTGCAAAATGTCTGACACAGTCTTACTAATTGGGTAAACTAGAGTAGAGGTCAAATGAATTCTGCCTCTGGATATATCATGGAGCTACCCAGAAGTTCCTCTTAGAAGTGAAACTTATTTAGCCTTTCTGTAGCTGCATGACAAAGGCATTTTTGTATACCTTTGGGTGTCTATGCTGCAGTGTCCCTCACTCCTAGACTGAGCTGGGTGGATGCAAGTATCCTACACATGTGTGTGTTCCCTCCTGAGTTAGAGAAGAGTAAAGAGATCATTAATCCAGCAAATTGCTAGGGAGGGTAGAGGGGGAAGTTGTTTGCATTTTTGCTTTTTTATACCTTGACACATTCTAACAGGAGAAAGGACAGTGAAAGTGGCTCATGGTAGGTTTGGAGCAAGGAATGAAGAGATGGCAGGGTACTCCACAGGATTAGTGGGGTATAGGAGAGTCCACTTTTTGTAGATGCAGGAGTCAGACTCTGCAAAAAACAAAAGAAAACAGACTGAGAAAAACTTTAGCAATGTGAATGGACATTCTGCAGTGGTTCCAGAGCACAGTGGTGTTCCTTCACTCGTGATCATGCATCTTGAACATTCAGTCTCATGGCTAAATTGTGCATGCTGAGAATCTAGATATGGAGTTGCCTTCATTTTTTGCTATGGAGATGATGCCTTTGTTGGGTCTGAAACCTACATATCAAGATGTCAAGAACTGAGCCCTTCTTTTACGGGACTCATTTTGCCAAGAATGAAAAAACCAACAGAATAGTATTCACAGTGTATATTTCTGAGGGTGAGATTCTGTTTCCTGAGATTATAATCATTATAAAAAGAAAATTATACAGGACATACATCCATAAGAAGAATAAGAGTGGCAGTTTTTAGCCAAATTGAACAGCATAAGATAAAAATTTCATGGTGCTGGAGACTGAAGAAGAGGGGCCATGCCCAAATCTTAAAGGAAAGATTGTAAGAAATGGAAACAGAGAGATTGAACAACAGAGAGGGAACAGGATGTGAAAGGCCAAGTTAAGGTCATGTGACCTTATCCCATAAGACAGGCAGGAGAGCCATTTAAAGTTTTAAAGTGAGAGAGTGACATGTGTAGGCAAGTGACTTTGAAGTTACAGTAGGGAAAAATAATCTATGGCTCAGTATTGTTTCAGAGAAACATTTTTGTGTTGATCCTTCTCTCTTTAATCCAGTGGAAAAAATGGAGTTTTCTTTTTAGAAAAAGAGTTTTGCAAATTTGAAATGTCAGAAAAGCAATTATAATGTGTGAATAAGTATTTAATTGTGATGTATGTACTGTATTTGGGAATGAAATGTGTCTGATGACTTGAGCTATAAAGTAGAAAGCAAGTGTGTCCATTTTTCTCTGTATCTGTCTTTTCAACAACCTCATATTTTACATAGTCATAAATTAGTTACTGTATCTTTTTTGTTACAGTTCAAAACCTCATGTTTAAGGAAGGAATCCTGTATGTTTGCTATTTTTCAGGAAAACGGATGTGTGTGGGAGAGGGCCTGGCTCGCATGGAGCTGTTTTTATTCCTGACCACCATTTTACAGAATTTTAATCTGAAGTCCTTAGTTGATCCGAAGGACATTGAAACCATCCCAATTGCTAATACATTTGGCCATGTGCCACCTTTATACAAGCTCTGCTTTATTTCTATCTGAAGAGTGGTGCAATGCTTGGTTACTGCTGTTCTGTCACTTGCAACTTTATCTCAACAGGGGCATAATCCATCTCCTTCCCATGATTATGGGTATATTCCCTCAGATCTTCTCTTACATCTTGCCAATCTCTCATAATCCAGTGAACATCCAACCCTCATTAAGGAGAATATTATGATCACTACACAAATATATCTGCAATCCTCTACATTCTGCAACAATTGTATTGAACATCACAAGTGCTAATACTTAGCCAGTGCCAAGTTACTGGAATGATGTCAGTATTAAACAACAAATGATTTCATTATTATTAAATCTCATTATTAAGTGATCTCACTATTAAGCAATGTATGATTTAATGTGATAATTCAGAGCCATTCTCCAGTTTTGTGAATAAAAAGTATTAATTCCTGGGCTGTGTTTCAGACTTTCCTTTTTTTGCACATAATGTAGATAAGAAATGAATCTCAAGTATCACGCTGTCATTCATAATGATCTGCATAGAAAGGGCCCAAGAAGAAGGCAGAAAATCTGTATTGGCTGAGTATCTCTTATAGTTATGGGTGATTTGTATTTGAAAGACAGAAACTACTTGCAGGTGTAGCAATGACTGTAGGGAAACATTAAGGGAGTCAACTACAGGGCAGGTAAACATTAGGTGTTAGTATATCTCAGCCCTTTGCTTTGATGTTAATCTCAACAGAAAGAATTGGAGTATTCTTTTCCCTTTGTGTTTTCAACTTAGAGTATGAAATAATTTATG